ATATGATAAAGTTTATTTGAAACTATTGTATTATATGAACAAAGCGCCTCGGAAGGGACCTGAATATTGAGGGAAGGTTTTGTTGGGAAACGGAAACAAAGTCACCAACCTTTGTTAGTGACACTATATTAAGATTAATCATGTGCTTTACAACCTTGCTTTGAACTTTCATATCAGATAAAGAAATATAATCTTTGTTTATTATTTTATTCGTATAAACAAATTTAAATTGTGTCAAAAATTACTATTCTATCTTCATACACAGAACTAAACTCTTGTATTTGTCCTGAGAGATTTAAAAACTATAAAATGAATAAATATAATTACATTTATAACTTTAATTTTCAATACAAGAATGTTCTTATATATGAGGCTACGACGTATCTTTTACTGTCTGTTTTGAAGATATCTTTACAAGGCAATCATGCTATTTTGACTTGGAAAATAGACAAGATGAACTTTATAGATCGTATAAATTCCAAAATCAGCACGACATTAATAGAATGTCAATTAAAAACATCGGTTTATTATTATTGTATCTATTTAATGTAATTCATAACAGTACCATTATTCCAAGGACTTGCGGGATGTGGAATGTACTCCATCCATAACATTGCCTTTCGAAAGTTGCTTGTTAGGATTTTCTTAGCAAATTTATCAATTTCGTAACTGAATACTGAAAGAATGGCTATTTGTTCGATTGCTGCCTTATTGGCAGAAAACAATCAAGGTGAAGCAGATTTTAACCAGATGGAAGAACAGCAAGCCATAAACTGTAACATTTAGATATTTTGTTATTTAAATATGTATATCAAAAAGTTCTTAGACCTAAGTAACCACGATATAAAGATACCGGTACCTTATATAGGCACATAAGGAAAATAATCATTATATGTAGAATTATTAAAACATTTTATCATAGATGGAACAGCTTCATAAGGCCTATAAATACGTATATAAATCAAAGTAAATTCAATAAACCAAGAAGCTCAAAATAATTTTAATTAAATTTTTTGATAGAAACGCGTTGAAACCATTCATCTTCTTATTATATTTGCTACAAATATATAGAAACTTTCTTATAAAACAAAGCTAGAACTAATATGTGCCATCAAAAATATAATTACATGGAAATGTATACTACTACGCACTTATTCTTTTTCTATTTTACTTTTATTAATAATCATTTTACGTCTAAATATCATTCAATAAATATACAATGTCTGGAAATCCATTTAAGATGCAAAGTCTCAACAGGGCTTTGTATATATTTAGCATATGAATCAAATACAGTGAAATATGGTACAAATTAATATGGATGTATGCGACAGTGAGGTATTAACTGATGTCTTCCACTTGAAACCCAGATGTATTATAAGAAATAAATTAACTAATTATATCATATTAAAATATGGAAATCCAAATTCTGATGACGTATCTTTATAAGAATAAAGATACGTTTTCAGAATTTAAATATAATCAGAAAACCAAAAATGTAACAGAATTTTTAAATTATAAATTATCAAGAAACAAAAAGATAAATAAGATCAAAGTATAATGAAACGTAATATTGAATAGAGTTTTTTATAAAATTCTATTATTATATATTTTGTAATTTTCTACTAAAAAAAGGTATTGATTCCTTACTAAAAGAGGGTCAATACACATAAGTGAAATATAACATTATATTCGTAAGTAAATATTTGATCAGCATTAAGTGGAACGAAACAATTTTTAAGAAAATACTAACTGAGCGAAGGAACAATATTATATGAATACATAAATTTGCATAAATATTATATTTAAAGAGAATTCGATAGTTGAGATTATTTAAAAATTCCTTATACATATCTCAATAACATTAATATAATACGTATTTTTAAATTAAATCAACAAATACAAATACTCTCAGCTCATACATAATCAATTGTAAGCTGAATATTTTCCAGTCAAATAGCTCCGCTAAGAAATAATAAATAATGTATTTGTGAACGCATTTACAAGATTACAATATTAGTACCTCCTAAAGTCATTACAGATGATAAATAGCCGGCACACTTCAATAATCAAATTCTAATTTGGAATCTGTTTCCCTCTTCGCATTGTGAAAAGATTGTAGCTTTATTAAGCATGAAGGAAGAGCTTTGTTAAATTGGTCTCGGTAGACACGTGACCCGGAACCTATTAGGGTTGCTGTTTGTATGTATTTGAATGTAAATTATATTGGGGTGATAGATAACCAGGCGTGGCTATTGATAGCGAGCGATGTCATTGAATTAAGTGTGTCGCCGTTTAGTGTTTATCAGTTGACGTATGAGTGAGCTGTCGAAGCGTTCTCACTTATATATCAATATACTTTTATTATAAGAAGTTTTAGATCTTCTTACTTTAGTCCACGAGGATATTTAAGAACACTCTTATTGTATGAAATAATAAAAGTCTAGCACTAATGTTATAATTGGCTTGTGAGTCGGCAGATAGCTTTTATACTGATAATTTAATTTAGACATTCAAAAAGATAGATTATGGACAAAAATATATGCAACCTATACAGATAGATTGTACCTCCTTAGTCGCGAACAAAATCAAAACAAAATATTATCGTCATATTCAAAACAATTCCTTTCTTAGATGCTGTTAAAAATCATAAATAATTTCTGCAAGCAATTAAAATTTACAACGTCTGTATGAATATTCCTAAGACATAAGGCAGTACAACAAAAAAATGGTTGTCATTATTTAGCTGGTTCCCGGCAGGCAGCAGACAATGTCGCGGAAGCATCGGTAACGCTGCCCGGTTAGCATAATGCTGATTAAATTTTTGCTTACAATTAAATTACTGCAAGACCGTATCTTTATTGCCTGCTGCTAACTACTATGGTCATTTAAATGAAACTAACATTTTCATGATCACGGTTGCGGTAAAGTAATCGAAACGTCGGGAGTTTATAGTAAAAAATAAAAAATTGCGTAAGTAGTAAATCCGAAAATATTACATAGTTTCATTTAAATGAGTACTCGCGAAAATTTTAGATCTCATTACTATGATCATTTTAAATATCAAAAACATACAAGTGGATAACAATCATCGTTATAAGATTTTCATTTACAATTATTAATTAATTTGTGTTTAAAATTGATATATTTGCTAAGTTTACTTTCAATAAGTCATATTCGTATAAGTTCCACGATAAGTCTAACATGTCTCAAGTAACAAGTCACATATGAAGCTGGTTGTGGTAACATTAGTTGTTCTAGGCCATACTGTATCTACAGACTGCAGTCCTTGCTCGGCCGGCCACTGAGCAATATTCAAATGTGTCTCTGTCTGCGTTACGGGTCACATCCGTCATAAGAACTGGCGTCTGCGAACATGCTGTTTTTGTATACAGGGTGATGTATCAAAAACATTATATACACCTGCTATAAATACTCAGTTATAATATACATATTTCTACACTATATGATATGTATAACACATATAAGTAAGGTCAACGAAATACTCAAATTGATACTAAATCACATTTCTGTAAATATAAACGTGTTCGGTAAGCGTAGCATCCTGTATTCGACTACACAGAGGGGCGCACTGTCCCCAATATGAATATTTTCTATTGAATTACTCACGGTTCGTCGGACCAGCAAAAATATTGTTCTCCTCGCACTTATACGGGACACCCTGTAGGTTTTATATTCACAAATACAGCGACAAGTGTAACTGTGATTCGATTATTCTGTCTTAAAAGTTTTCATATTATATAAATCTAGAATTATATTGTTAACTGTAGTATGGTCGATTGTAAGTTAACTAAATACTACATAGAATAAGATAACAAAAAAATCCAATACCGACCATGTTATATATTAAATTCTACGATTTTTATGTAATGAGAAATAGTATGAGTATGACTAAATCATAATAATCATGTCCCCTACAATCTGTATCACATTTCCCATACACATTCACCACGGCCATCAACTCACTAAAGCAAGTCCTCCCACCCTGGGAACAGAGTTGTTCGCAAGACTTTAGACACGCATCTTTCGACACGCTGCGAATCATGACTTTAAAAACATTCAAGCGAATCTAACACCTATTCTATTAAACAGAGAGGTTAATATATAATACTTGATAATTAGATTTAAAATGAAATGGTTTGTCACTGTCAATTAGTCTGGAACTGATTAATACTACATCGGATGGATTTGACCTACAAAGATAGGTTCAACCAGATATAATATGTTGAGAATAAATTATTAAAACATTTAGTACGACAAAGATGTTAAATGTTTCAAATTGAAATTAAAAATGTTTGCTAGAATGAAATACAAATATTTAAATATTATTTGTGTTATGTTTTTTGAATCGATATAAAAAAAATTGGGCCTTAGTTTAGTTTTGTTCAAAATTTGTTTTAAACTCTTGGTTATATATTAAAATAATGAATTATATGTATTGAAAAACATAAAATAAATAGACTGAACGAGATTCAGGAAGTGTTCGTAATAAAAATGTATAATAATTACATAGTTATTTGTCTTATATTGTTAATAAATAAATTTAAACAATTTGGAATAAGGTGATATCTTTATCTGTTTATATGTATAAAAATCAAAGCTCATAAGAACCACCCTTGTGAAATTAATTTTGATACGGTTCGTCTCTTCACTTGATTTATGATCGGGGTAATATTAGTTGTACTTAGAAACAATAGTAAGTTCGGAGATATACTACATTATTTTGATTTTGATTTCAAGTTTGATAAAGAAAAAACGTTTTTCATTTGATATTAGACCGTTTAATCGTGATTTGCTAATAGTTTTATATTTACAAAATAAATGCTTAATAACTAATATTGCACAAAAATTATTATTTAATAACAATAACAATAATTTTAAACAGTGTTTTAACAGGCGTACATCCAAGGTGAGTAATTTTTTTAAGTTTCGCTACGAGGTGATAGTAAAGAATTCTTCTTAATATTATGTTAATCGTATGTTCACTTGTGAAGGATGGCTCCTCCCGAGTGAGGGTAAAACTGTTTTCCCTTCTTACTATAATTCTGTACGGGTGTCACTTCATCTAAATCTCCTTCTTTATCTTGATGCGCTGTCATGTGTCGAGTCAAATGGTGTCTTTCTCTAAAACTCTCGTTGCAGACTGGACATTTTAATTTTTCCTCTCGCTTCCTCCTACTTGGATCGGCAGTTGACTCGCTTTTATGATGAGTCCTCATATGATAGACCAAATCAGAAGTCATTCTAAAGCTTATACTGCATTTGGCGCATACATTTTGAGCTGGCAAAGAAAATGCGGCTATAGTCGATGGTAAGAGAGTACTTAATATTGCAGCAGCAGGATTTGCAATCAATGGATTTACTGGCTCTCGTGGAGGTGCAGAAAATTTCATGATGTCTGGATTCGGTTGTTGAAAATTTTGGACACCGAAGGGATAAGAGGGTCCAGCTTGTAAATATGGTAACTCAGGTCTAAATGGAATAAAATTCATTTTATTTGGTAACATTTGAATATTTTTCGTTTCTTGTTTATTCTGGTAATCAACAGATTTAAAAGATCCACTTGCTCTTTGCAAGGTGCTTGATTCAGGGTAGTTTGGTGAGCTGGATGGTGCATTTTGTCCTTTAAAGAAGTTATGACCGTTTAATAAATGTGCTGGTGTAAGAATATTATTGAAGCCAGTTTTATTATAAGAGCTTGAAGATGGACTGGAAGTTGATAGAGGTGGGCTTATAGAATTTTGGTAAAGAAGATTATCAGGGCTTACTGAGGGGTTCGGAGATCGCATAGAAAAGTTTGACACTTTTGTGAAAGCGCTTTTCGGCGAAATGTCATTCGCCTTATCACCAAAACGATTTTCAAATCTTGCTCTAGTTTGAATGCTTATTAGAGTCGGATCGTCGAAAATTTTGTTTTTATATTCCGGCAAAAACTTTGGTTGCCTTGCAGCGCTCTCGTTGGAGTTGGGACGACTTCTTGACCGCTCCGAAGTGTCGGAATCACTGCAGTACATAGACTTATTTGGATATTCGTCTGTACCGACATCTATATTAATGTCCGAACTAAAAGTGGGAGATATATTATTGTTTATACGCATACGATCTTCGTCGTGATCTCTCGAGTCTAAAATATTTTCATTTGAATATTCATCTTGTTTATATAAATCTGTTACCCTTTTGGCTGGTTGCTCCCACTCTTCCGTGTTGAACAACTGTTTTGAAACTCGCAACTGTCGCTCTGGCTGCACTGATTGACGAATTTTTTCATCTGGCATCATAAGGAAAGCGACATCGAAAGAACGCTTTGAGGGTTTCCCTTGATTAAGTATCGTCGACTGCATGTCTGTCTTCAAATGTTGAGAAGTTTTCGCACTTTCAATATTCAAATTAGTTTCTTTCGAGTCCGGAGACTGTTCTTTATAGTTTTGATAGTTATTTTGTATGTCCATTGTCATCGTTTAATCATTAAAGCAAACTCACTCAAGCCAAAACTTTTGTCACTTTTATCGCAACGGTTATCACTGAGACGCGTGCGTACTGCCCGTCAGTAACTTTACGAATGCGAAGCCAACGCTGGGGTGAAAAATATATAAGTGGGGCTCAAAACTACCCTTGGCGGAGGCTTTCTTGCCGGGAGGTGTGGTTTGGCGACCAATGAGAGGCGAGCGAGAGGCGTTATTGGAAACGTCGGTCCAATGGGAGCAGCTCCAGAGGATAGCGACCAGGAGAGCTCCATCACCGGGTCAAGATAATAATAACTGCTGCGAATTGAGAGCGCATTGAGCTGTGGTAGGGTCACCTCGACAAAGACAGTATGATATAGAAAATTGTGATCTGTTCCTCGCCGGTATGGTCGGAGAATTAGATTTTTACTAGCTTTATATTAAATGGATACATTTTTCTTTTAAATAAGATTTTTTTTTAGTTTATCTATGTCGTGAATGATAATGATATTGAACAATTAAATTGTCTAATATTGTTTGATATGTAAATATTAATATTACCTGACCAGATGAATGTCAGAATTTAGTAGTTTATTTTATTTAGTTTAATAAAAATGAATATATTAGAGGAAATGTGTAATTACAAAACGTTTCGGACTGTACATACCCTTAAGTTACATATACATTTTCAATAACGTCAAATTATTATTTATCAATATGAACATTATAAAAATAATGACCTCTATTATTTCGATAACAGAAAATAAACAAAAAACATTGCAAATGAAAACTAAAGAAAAATATAAATGAGTAAACTTTAGAAATAAAAGGCTAAGAAACACAAAAAATAGTTTTGTCATTGCCCTCTGTTTATCTCCCCAAACATGGCACTAGAAAAACTCTGACGATTATCATTGCAATAAATATGTTTTATATGTGGCATAAAAAATGATACTTCGCTATAGGCGGCATAACCCTCGAGTGTATGGATGAGATTGCGAATAATGCTATTAACACAGACGCTTCTTCTCAAATTGATATCCCACATAGACGAAATAAATTGGAATTTGAGATCTCACATCTAAATCACAAGACTTAAAATCATTTGTTTCCTGTTTATGTTACTACTGGAGGTAGAAAAAACGGAAAACTAAGTTTATCGACTTATTATAAGGTTCAATTTTAAGTATCAACCGGTCTTAACAAAAGTGCTAAGACTCAAATGAGGTCTGTTCGGTAGTGGGTAATGATAATAAGATGGGCGCAGACGTTAAAGGAAAGCCATTTGTCAGGTTTAGTCATTTTTTTACCATTCGTTTCTTTTCTATGAAAATCTGTTCCATTTATTTTGGGTTAATGAAATTCCTTTTTGGTAGAAAAGTTCCATATATACGATGGCATTTTAAACACGTTTTTAATATATCATTACGTAGATAATGATTTGAATTATACATACATGTGTTATTGCAATAGAATTAAAGGTTTTTCTATGGAAATTTTAAATAATATAAGTGCAGTAGTTTTTATTTCTATGTAAAATAACGTAGTTAGGACTATTTTAGATCGTGGTACTCTTCAAAAGTAATTCAATAAGTTATTAGCTTTTTAGTGATAACTAATTTCTGGCACGTGGTACAGCTTATCGCGCACGTGCTGTGGAAGTGATAATGAATAGATTTATTATTGTTAGTGATTTAAATATTTATACTTATTACTATTCATCGGGATTTGAAGTTATTTCTAGTTTTAAACTAAAATTCAGGTACTTTTTAATAATGATAGCTTAGTACTTAAAGAGGCTGGCATGTGGTATTCGAATGCAATTAATATGATTACTCATTATATATTGTTTTATATTGGAAAATAAAGTTACTAACTTAATAGTATTTTTGTCTTGAAATTACTAGTATATTAGTTTCATAGTAATATTAAACGCAAGTTTTATTTTGATTCCATTGAATCTCCGTCAGTCTCTCCATCCAACATCAATTTCTCTCAATAATGTTCTAAACATCGCAACCCAAGTCCTGCTAGTTGACTGATGATCTCAAGTCAAAGGTCCCATCTGCAACTTAGATTGACATTTCGATTTCCCAGACCACCCTGTCCAAGACAGATTAGTTGGTGTTGTTAATATTCTTTTTCTATTTGTATAGAAGGAATTGACTCCTGGGACCGATCGCTGATTGTGAACTCCTCAGAACATCTCAATTTCTTTTGTTTTGATCGTAATATCTATGTACAAATAAATTTATTTTATAACCATATAAAAGACTAATTCATTGAATTGTTCAAGATTTTTGTTGTTATTTACAAATTGTTCCTTAATCTGTTAATATTGTAGCCAAAATATGAGATTAGCCTGATTAATGGATCGGTTTATCGTAAATTATAACAACACCTGTACTAGAACGTCATCAGAATATGTTTAATGCACCCCGCTGCTTTCAAAACTAATACCAGCCCTACATATGGTATATTCTAACAATAGTGTGTAAGACCTGCTAAATGTTATGCTATAACTAAATTAGTTCAAACGACTTTATTTCTTTTCATACCATCATAGGGTCTATAATAGTTTGAGATATTTTTTTCAATGACAATTCGGGGAGCACTGTATTATTAATCTCGGACAATAATCATTCCCGTTCAGTAATTCTTTTAGATCAACCACCCTGTTAATCGTTTCAAACAAGAATATTCTATACAAATGATTTTAAACCTTAATATTTGTGACAATGAATATAAAATTGTTTGTATATTAAGTATTATTGTCAATATCCACTAGCTATATTGCCTTCGAAACTAGTACGCTACTCAGTATTTTATATCAATATAAAAATGCTATTGTAAAATGACTTTAACGGTTGAAATTATTAAGTTGAATTTCATATAATATTATATTTAAATGAAATCCAAATTAAACATTTGTCTGATCGACTTTATATGTATGGCAGTAGAGTTCATAGTTCCTCGCAAGTGCCTGATTATAATGTAGCATTAAAGTGGGATTTAGTGCACACTTGTTTATGAATTTTTATACCATATGGTGTAAAAGCCGCGGTGGACAATACACCCCCATGCCAGTACCCCATTACCATATGGGACGCGTTAAACGCGTTTTCAAGAGAATCGTATAGCTCTTTGAAGTGAGATGAATGATGAACTAATGTTATTGTATTTAACCATAAAGGGGCAACAAGGTGAACCTATCTTAAATATTTAAAGTACCTATATTCATATTATTCTTCAAATTATAAAGAAAAGGCTTACAATTTGATTTTTCTTCCTACTCTTAGATAATCTTCTAGAACTGTTATATATCTTTACCCAAATTTTGACGTAAAATAACTAAAAACTAAAGTAAATATAAAATACTATATTATATGACTATTAATATAAATGGCCGGTGCGGTGTTACAAAAAAATATTTGTTAATGGATATCGAGTAGTAAGTTGCACAGAATAACATTTGCACAAAGCAATAATGTGTATTGTATTATTTGACAGAGGGGCTGGGGTTGGAACGATCTTGATACTTGAAATATACACATATAAAAAAAATAATCATTGATACTATTGAGATAATCACCAAAAACATAATTATAATTTACTAGTTTTTGCTCCGACTTCGTCCTCGTTAATTTCGGTATTAGTAATGTATGTATAACTGACCGGGCGAACTCCATCTTACTTAGAGGTCGTAAATAACCAAATATTACTACCAATATTGTAACCAAATATTTTTATCCTTTTTCGATCGAACAGAATTAAATATCCTATGTCCGTCTCCTTGTTCCAAACTATCTCCTCGCCAATTTTCAACCACATCCCGTACGTTCTTGAGTTATAAATAGTATAACTAACACAACTTTCTTGTATACATATATATGAATGAATTTATAATTTTTTTATGTATCAAGTATCAAGACTATGTGTTCGCCCACCACCGTCCTATCAACATATGTGCTGGTGGTGCCATCTGATCACAGTAATGATCGTACAGACGGACAATTATCTGCTTGTAATCAGAGAATAGCTTTGATGTGGAACATATCTGTGTTGAAACGGTTCAACGAATAACGGATCTATGGATAGTACTTACTAAATATTTTAATAATTAAGTGATTGGTACAAAAAACGCGAATTTAAATCTCTTCATATTACGTTTTTTGTATACAACAAAATGGTTATACATGTAAAATTATCTATATGTTACTATCAATTATTGTTATGAAACAAAAATTTCCAGTTTAAATATCTTGTAGTTTATGTGTTTCACGGTAAACATGTAAAAATTTTCCTAAATTAATGTTATCAAAATTGCTTTAATATAAATATTTGAATATGATGAGGTTAAAAACTATATATAATATCTCATTTCTGAGGAATTTATATAATATTTCTGTAATAAAGAAATTCTGCTCGTTTGAAAGCAAAATATACGAGTGTTTTAAACTCCAAGTCCAGAACACAATGCGAGTGCAGTTAGTTTGCCATATGTAGTTCAAAGCCACGGTTTACTCAAGGGAAACCTCCCTTGCTAATGAATATTCTGTTAGGGCGTTAGTAATTGCGGGTTACGAAGAGAATCATTTAAAGAATATTTTAAGATGAATTACGAAGAAGCTGTACGTAATATTAGTGCTAAAATTCAATGTGAAATCAGAAGAAATGTAATAAATAATGTTTAAAAGCTTTGTTTAATGTTGTAACCTGATTTAAATCGATAAATATAGATGAATAAAAACCGTAAATACAATTGAATATCGTTTTCTGAATCGATACGAGATCTAACCGCTTCCACCCCTAGCGGGCCTGTAAACGTTTCAAAGGCCATATGTCGCGAAAAATTCTACTATAATTGTATTAAGTCACCCCAAGTCGAGTGCGCCGCTTTTAATTACGACGACCCACTTAGACATATGTGAGTATACTTTTAGGGCTTTTTGTATTAACTATTTGACGGTCATCAAAAAATGTATTGATATGTCATGCTCAAGCTGAGTTGT